GAGCCATCACCCAACTCTTTCAGGATCAGGAAGCTGTTTCAGCAACATCTCCACACCCATAAAGCTGGACCCTGGATGCTAGAAGGCAGCAGCCCCAGCATCCCAGTGTCTCCATAGCCGTGCTCAGCAGCCACAGCCATGTTCCCAAGACCACGTGACTGACAAAACCTGCAGCCTAACCAGGACATCAGAGGCAAGGGAGTGTGAGAAATACAGAAAAATGCATGTTCTGCCTTTTTGAAAATCAATTCACATACTCCATCACATCAACAAGCTAAAGAAGAAAAATCACACAATCATATCCATAGATGCAGAAAGAAATGCTGTGCCACCCCTTGGGGGGATTGATCATATCAGGGGGAAGGAGAGGAGCAGAGAGAGGTTGGGAGAGAGGCAGGGTGGCATGGGGATGGCAGCTGAGGCTGGAATTGGTGTTCCTAGGACTGGCTTAAGGTGTAAGAAGTGGCCAAATGTAGACCAAAAAAAGCTACACATTCCAAGAAAGCCGATGACCTCAGGCACAGGGTCATAGGGCTGGGGGCCCCTCAGCCCTGAATTACTGCCACAGAGGCTGTCCTCCGTGCCAGCCCCCAGGGAGGCAGCCCGGGTTAACGCCAGAACCCCACAGTCCTGGCCCAACACAATCACCTCCCCGTTGACCTGCCCCTTCCACGGCAGATACTCAGCAGCTGTCCCTCTCCACTGCCCCACCCCACTCTCCCACCCACTCCCCACCCCCGCCCTGCATCCTGAGCTGCAGCCCCGTGGGTGAGGCCACTGTGTGCCATGCACCCTGGCTTGTCGCTTGCAGTTTGCATCCACCCCACTTCCTTTGTTCCAAGACACAGCTGCTCCCTACCAAGCCAGCCAGGCTGCACGGATATCCAGAGATGACTTTTAAGGTGACCATCAGGAGGGAGCACCTTTTTATAACTTTGCCCCGCTTTGCTCCCTGGCCTCCCATGACCCCGGTTCATCATGCCTCCACAAAGCCACAGGGCATCAAAAACTTTAAGGCCAGGGCACCTGGGTGGCTCAGTCGGCTAAGCATCCGATTCTTGGTTTTGGCTCAGGTCATGATCTCAGGGTTGTGAGACTGAGCCCCCCGCCCCGCCCCCCACCATCGGATTCGGCTCAGTGTGGAGTTTGCTTGGGATTCTTTCCCTCTTCCTCTCCCTCCTCTTCTGCGCCCCCTCCCTTCCCCCCCCCACCCTGCTTGCATGCTCATGCACTCTCTCTCAAATAAATAAATGAAATCTTTAAAAAAAAAAAAAAGTTAAGGCCAAAAGCCTTTCCATTGAGCATAATGGGAGCATGGAGCTGCCCACCCATCCATCCCTGAGATTAGCCACTGCTGGCACCACCATGAGTCCTTGAGCTAGAGACTTTGCCAGCTCCCTCACTTCAGACCAACCTGCCCAGACCTGGCTCAGCTCTGCCACTGGTGCCCTCCCCCACCATAACTGGATACCCCCCCCACAACACTCTGGGACCCCGGCCCGGAACAAGGAGGGACTTGGGGCCAGGGAGAGGGGACACTTAGACTTCTGGTCTTTTTGCCATCACCCCTGCATGGAACTTCCTCTCTGGGGCACAGACCAGACCATGCAGAAGGATAGCCCATGAGTGAATGAATGAAGAGAAGCAAGGCTACATGCCTCTTCTGAAAGTCCTCCAGACATTCAGAAACTCCTCCCCTTGAGTCAAAAGCCCCATTCCCAGGCGAAGAAGGAAAAAAAAGAAAATGTAAGATCTATGCCAGTCTTAGTTCCAGTGGGCCCCTACCCTGTGCCTGCCACACTGCCACCTACCCCAGACAGTATAGGAGGGGAGTGTGGGAAGGGTCTCCTGCCCACCAGCATCCTGCTTTCCTAGGCCAAAGGCTTCGCTTTCTGCTAGTTCTGCCAGCCCATGGTCCTTTCCTGGCTGGCACATGGTGGGCAAAATGCCCACAGCACACCTCAGTCCTAACAAGACTCTGTCCCTAAGGCAGAGCTTGTCTCTAACAAGCAGGGCTCCACTGACCCCTCTCCCCACCACAGGAGGCAGTTAGGAGGGGTGAGCGGGGCAGGCAAGCAAGAAGCTTGGGAAACACACACACACACACACACACACACACACACACACACACACACACAGCCCCAGCAACCGCCAGGCCAGTGCCTGTGCCAGCCCCACCTGAGCTCATCAGGACGGGTGGGGCCTGCAGGCTATCAGCCACGTGTAGGGCCTGGAGGGGAAGAGGGAGGGAGGGAGGGCCGCCTCTTAAGGCAGGTCGAGAGGTGAACTGCACCTCCCCTCACTCTTCACTCGGACTTTGAGCAGTCTTGGTCCCAGGAGCCAGGAGTGAAGACAGCAATCTGCCTACGCAGGACACCAGGTATGTGCCTTTATTCTCTAAGAAGAGAGGGAGATTCAGTACCTTCGCCAGCCTGACTCATTTAACACTTTGTCCTCAGCTTCTTCTCCACCTGTCCTGGGGGCTGGAAGTAAAAGCAGAGAGAAATGGGAGGAGGCTGTAGATGAGAGAGGTGGTCTCAGGACCACAGACCCCAGAGGTCAGCACTTTAAGAGAATGAAATCTGTGCCCCTCAGCGTACAGATGAGAGAACCAAGGTCCGGGGGACAGGGGGTGGAGGGGGCAGAGAAGAGGCTTGCCCGAGGTCACAGAGACTTGGGAAGGGAATGGACACAGAACCCAGGCCTCCTGCCTCCCAGCCCAGAGCACAAAGCCTGGCCCTGAGCCCCCCACTGTGCTGGGCCTTTCCGAGGCTGCCGGGAATCCAGGGGTGGGGGCCCTGGCCAGGTTCTGCTTTCCTGGATCTGGGTGGAGAGGATGAAACAATCAGAAGCCCCTCGTCAAGGTTGGGGGCAGGGGTGGGCTGTGGAGTCAAAATGCTTTTGAGGAGGCCCAGACTTCACCTTCTGTCACCTTCTCCCTTCACTGACCTGGACTCATGATAGGAGGGAGAGAGTAAGTCAGTGAAGTGGAAACGGGGATTTGCCAAGGTTTCAGGATCCTCCTGCCTCTGGAGCCCTTGGGAACAAAGAAAGATATTTGAGTCCAAATCTGAAGGGGGAATATATGGGAGAGGGACCTATGAACAGGCAGAGCTGGCTGGAGCCCTCCCATATACATAGGCAAGTATACACACGTACACATGCACACCCCCGGAGTCTGGAGCCCCAGGGACCCTCCTCTCCACCTTAGAGCAGGAAAGAAAGAGCTAGAGAAGTGGGCTGGTGAGGGTGTCCAGGAATAAAGGAGTGAGCCCCAGCCCCTGCCCTGGAGGGTCTGCTGGTGATTCAGGGAGTATTCAAAGTGAAAAGAGTTTGAACAAGAGCCTGAGGGGCTGCCTGCCTTTTGCTCAATCCCATGCCTGTTCCACTGGGTTCCAGAATCCCAGAAGGGGCAGATGTGAAAAGGGTCTTAAATCTATGAAGTAGTGATATAGGGTTAAGAGTTTTGGGACTGTGGAGCCAAGACCACCCAGGTTCAAAGCCACTGGGTTCAAACCCCCGTTCCACCCGTGGATTCTGCAGGTTCTGTGACCTTAGGCAAATCCCTGAACCTCCCCAGCCCCACAGTAAGAGTACCCTCCTCACAGAACCACTGAGAAAATGAAATGAGTAAACTTTAAGTTCTGTTATTATTATATCCCCATCATACAGATGGGACAACTGAGGCCCATATAGGAAAAGGGAGCACAGTAGCAGTTTCCAATCAGTAAGCAGGCATCCTAGGTTCTGGTCTGAGTGATGACCCAGGCCCCCAGTGTGCTCTGCAAAGTCAGTAACGCCAGCCTCCTCTGTGGGGCCCAGCCAAAAACCCTGGAGGATGCACTGAGATCCTGCCGCAAGAAACCCGGGCCACATGGAGCATGTGAGGAAAGAGCCACAGCTCTGTGTCCTCAGCTGCCCCCAGAAAATTGCTCGGAGGCCTAGTCCCTTCCACTGCTATTTATAGACACGCTTCCCGTCCCTGGAACGCACCGACCCCTCCAGGCCCCAGCCAAGGAGAGGTCTAGCAACAGAGCCTACAGGAGCAATGGGGGACAAGGAAGCCTGGCTTTTCTCATTAACTTACTGTGCAACCTCAGACAAATCATACGCCCTCTCTGGACCTCAGATATCCCTCTGCATTGGAACTCCATGTGGTATAGGGAGTTAGGAATCCCAGACCCTTCCTCCAGGAAGTCCTCCCTGACCTCTGCGCCAGTGCCTACAGAGCCTCCTCTGTTTTGTCTCCCTTGGTAACACTGTTTTTAATTGTTCGCCAGCTTACTTGTCTGTTTCACTAACTGGCCCACACACAGTAGCAGCTAAAGGCAGGGTTCCTGACATCAGGCAGCCTGAGGTCCAGTCCTGCTCTGACACTTGGATGACGCGGTATGACACTTGGGCAAGTTACTGGCCTCTCTGTCTCTCCATTCACACATCATAAAATGGAAAATAATAGTATCTACCTCATAGGGTTGTTAGGAGGAGTTTAAAAGACTTTATGTGTAATGTATGTGCATAGTAATTATTCAATAAATATTAGCTGGTATTTATTTAATAAAGAAGGCTGTGACATAGCAGATATTCAATGACCTCTATTGAAGCAATTTTATTTGACAATCACTTGCATAATGCTTATTATGTGCCATGCACCGTTCTACGCATGTTACAAATCTTCACAAGTTTTATAGTTAAGGAAAACTGAGGCACAGAGAAGTTCATTAACTTGTCCAACATTTTACAGCTAGTAAGTGGTAGAGCCAGGATGCAAACCCAGGCAGTCTGACTCCAGTATCCATGCTTTTAATGAATTAATAAATATGCCTTTCCTTGGGGGGGCTGGAGGGGGAGGAGTGAGGGGCTTCAACTACCAAAGTTACTCAGTTCCCAACCCTGGTCTCTTTCAGGTCCTGGGAGCTCCTGGTTGGCAAGTGACATCTCTGGGGTGTAAGTGAGGCTGGTTTGAAGCTAGAGGTAAACGGACAGTCACTGCCCCCACCATGTCGCAAGTGATGTCCAGCCCCCTGCTGGCAGGAGGCCATGCAGTCGGCTTGTCTCCCTGCGAAGAACCCAGGAGGGCCCTGCACCCAGCACCCAGCCCTGGCCTGCCACTGCAGTGTCCTTACTATACCACAGAAGGTTGGGGAGCCCAGGCCCTGATGGCCCCCACACCCTTCAAGGGGCCCCCCAGCAGGCTCCAGCAGGGTCCACAGGCTAGAGCCAAAACCAGCTGCCTCCTGCAATCCCCTGGGGAGCAGACCTCAGGGACCCTGGAGGACCTCGACTCCTACATTGACTTCTCACTGGAGAGCCTCAACCAGATGATTCTGGAACTAGACCCCACCTTCCAGTTGCTCCCCCCAGGAACTGGTAGCCCCTGGGCCGAGCCTACCCAGAGCACAACCTCAAGGAAAAAGAAAGACGAGCCTGAAGCCTTGGGTAAGGACCTGGGGCACGGTGCCAAGAGGGGGTGCTTGGGGACCAGACCTCATAAGGAAGAAGGACTTTTCTATCAAATCAGAGGAGCAGGAGAAAATGTCCTGTTGGGAGGTGCTGTGCAGCCCTAAACAAGTTACTTAATCTCTCTGTTTTCTTTCCTATATCAAAGAGATATATACAAGTTTCCCTCACTATCCAATTCTATTTTGTTCCTGAGTTTGGAAAAGTGATGGATACCTGTTTTACGTGATTTTTCAGAGACTTTAAATAAGCTAATATATATATGTATATATATATATATTAATGTCATACAATGCCATGCATGTAACTAAGAGCCCGAGAAATGTGGAGTCCCTGAACCTCACTGTTCTATAGTATATCTCTTTAGGTCCTAACTTGGGTCCCCTGAAACTTTTATAGGATTGCTATCTGGGCCCTTGTCCCTGTTTAGGGGAGTATCTCTCTGGGGAGGCCCAAGCTGGAAGTAGCGGTGTTGGAAAGACACAGAATTCAGTCTATTTAGGGTGGGACCCTGCTGTGTGTAAGCAGTGATGTGCTGGTAAGCTCCATGATGGGGCAGAGAGCCTGTTTGCAAACATCTGCCAATTTCGCAGTATAGATTCTCCCAGCGTGGCCAATCTCAAGCTACCAACATGATGTCACTGAATGTAACACTGAAAAGAGATAACCTGTAGATGGCCATTACAGTATATATAGTATTTCTACCATACCAATATAATAGATATAAATAACCTCAAGAACATAGATATTAGTGGGGCACCTGGCTGGCTCAGTCAGAAGAGAATGCGACTCATGACCTCAGGATCATGAGTTCGAGCCCCATGCTGGGAGCAGAGATTATTTAAATAAATGAAACTTGGGGCTCCTGGGTGGCTCAGTCATTAAGCGTCTGCCTTCGGCTCAGGTCATGATCCCAGGGTCCTGGGATCGAGCGCCGCGTCGGGCTCCCTGCTTGGAGGGGAGCCTGCTTCTCCCTCTCCCACTCCCCCTGCTTGTATTCCCTCTCTCGCTGTGTCTCTCTCTGTCAAATAAATAAATGAAATCTTAAAAATAATAATAAATAAACTTTTTTAAAATTTTATTTATTTATTTGAGAGAGGGTGTGCACATGAGAGCGTACAAGCAGGAGGAGGGACAGAGGGAGAGAATCTCAAGCGACTCCATGTTGAGCAGTGGCTCAATCTCACGACCCTGAGATCATGACCTGAGAGGAAACCAGGAGTTGGATGCTCAACCAACTGAGCCAGCCAGGCGCCCCTAAATAAATAAAACTTAAAAAAAAAAAGAATCTAGATAATAGCAAAATCTAATTAAATAATTGGGATATGATGAATTCTATTTATTACTTTTGTTTTCATTGTAACTTATTGCATTGTAAGTTTATGTAATTTAATTTTTAATAATGTCTGAGTTTAGAAATCAGCTGGACAAAATCCTAAAAATTTAACAATCAGCCCTTACGAGCCGGTACAAGCCAACTTCAATGTACCACTGCATCCAAGGGAATCTAGAAATCTCTACATCTGGTGTCAGTTTCCTGAACAAAGGGTTTCAAGTGTACTCTGAGGATGAGGGTCAAGGAGCAGGACCCCATTAGACAGGCTGGAAGACTGAGGTCTTCAGGGGTTTAAAGGATCAGCATGGGTTAAGGGATACAATTAGGATTAGAGATTGTGTCCATGAGAATTTCTACTTATTGAGCACTTATTATACACAGGCTCTGTGCTGAACACCTTACAGGAGAACATTTAATCCTCCCAATCTATCCCCATGAAATATTTTATCACCATTTTACAGATGAAAAAAATGGAGGCTGAGGGGCTTCAGTAAGGAGCTTGTCTAGCCTAATCACTGGAGGTGGGCAAACCTTCCACAAGCTAGTGACTTCGCTCCTTTGTCTCATATTCTTCATCTGTAATATAGAGAGGAGTTCTTACCTCAAAGGGGGTTGCAGGGTTTAAAAGAAATAACACTTGGGTGTGTATCAGAAATCCTGACATGCTGTTAGTCATTATAAATGGCAGCTGGTTTAATTAAACACTAGGGTTGCATTTAGGACCCGCCCCAGGATAGGCTCAGGGTCTGGGGTGGAGGTGAGCCCAGCACCCAGGTCCTTCGGTGCCCCAGTTCCCAGTCTCCAGCCTGCCTTCTGCCCCTATCATCGAGCATTGCCTGCCAGGGCTGTTAAAAGAACCGCCTCTATCCCCCAAGATCTTCCTGCTTCCTGAGGCTGGTCACAGGCATGTCTCTGCAGGGAAGGTGGCTTGGGTCTAACTACCATTGGCAGGAGCAAGCGCAGGGCTTTAATGTTCATGCCCCAAGCCAGGGGTTCCACACACTCAAGGCCCTCTGGGGCAAGACCAGCCTCTGTGGAGCGTCCACATGTATGGGGTAGGGATGTTGACAACATCCCCTTCCTCCAAGGGGCCAGTGGTCAGTAGTCTGTGTTCTCAGATGCCCTGGACACAACCTGCCATCGTGGGGATGTGTCCACCTGACCCTGGGTAGCAGAGGGGTTCAGGGGATGAGTGGGCAGCCAACAGTGGTCAGAGGGTTCTGATGAAGCCCCCTAGTTCTGCCCTAGCATCTTCTGATGGAATAAGAAAATCCTCTCCTCTAACCTCTGCCTGAATGGCAGTGATGCCTGGGAATTCACTACCTCCTGAGACAGCCGGCATAGTCAGCTCCCTGTTAGAATGTTCTTCCCTGTGATCATTGTGATCCCTAATAGTGTGTCACTGTGATGGGTAGCACCTGTCCCGTGCATCTCAACCTGCCAAAACCCTCCCCTCAGACCACCGCTACCGGCAACAGAGCGCTTGCCAGCCGGTGGAAACCTAACTAGTTCTGGGCACCATGGTGAGTTTTCACTGGGCCAAATGTATCCAAATGTGTGGGACGCCCTCCCTTCGCCTCTCATCCTTCGTTCTCTTGGGGTGTCAAAGGGAAGATGTTCTATAATTGTGGTGCTAGCAGATGTTCACTGTTTTCTCTTTGTCCTCACTTGGCAAAATTAAAAATTAAGCATTGGCGATCCTATGTTTCTCCCTCCCCTAAATATATATAGATAGATTTTGTAGTGCATGATCTCAGCATCTACCCCTTGAAGGAAACAGTGGTAGCCTCATTTTACAGTTGAGAAAGTGAGGCACAGGGAGAAGAAGTAATGACCCAGGGTCACACAGCCAGTGGGTTGTAGGTCAGGCCTCAAACCCTGGGCTTCTGGTCTCCAAAGTCTGTGTTCGTGCCTTTCTCTCTCTTCTTTGGAGATAGTTTCCTGCCCTCCAGAGCTTCAAAATCTGTATGGAGGCAGCCTGCAGGCGCCTCTTCTGGGGATCTCCTCCTGCAGTGCTCGTAAACCTCCCCCAGCTTCCCTGCCCCTGCCTCTTGCTTACCCTGGGGGGCTCCCATCCCACAGGGAGCATGGTTATTCCAAGCAAACACCATATCCATCTCTGCCACCCCTCCCCTCCCCATCTTTGGAACAGCCACCCACATTTCATTTTCCAGCAATTTCTGCCAGGCAAAGCTGTTTGCCAATCCGAAGAGAAGGGTGTTTAATAACTGTCTCTCTGTCCCCCCGCCCACGTGCCCCCTTTCACCAGCCCAGCCTGGCGCTGGCGCCTGCATCCACCCAGCACTGCTCAGACTTGCCCCATGGGCCTGTAAACAGTGGCTGCACCCAGGTGAGGGTGTGGGGGGCCTCCACCTCCTCTAGCCGCATGCACCTCAGGGCAGCAGCGAGAGGTGACTCACAGCTCCAGGACTCCTTCCTTCCTTCCCACCCTGCTCTGCTTGCTCAGTCCCCCAAGCAAGGCCTTTCTTTGGTCGGTATTTGGATGACCCAGTGATTAGGAAGCCCAGAGCTTCACCAGGTGGAGAGACCCTCCCCCAAAGCAGGCAAGCACCTTGTCACAGGGCAAGGCCTTGGGAAAGTGTCCTGAGGAGTCCCCCATCCTGGAAGACGCCCTCCAAACAGAGCACAAGAGCAGGAGTTGGATTCCTCCACTCCCTGGCTGTGTGACATTTGATAACTCACTTAACCTTTCTGAGCCTTGATTTCTCATCTCTTATATGGAATTCATAATGTTTTCTACCTCAGTAGAGTTGTTGTGAGGGTTACGTGAGCTAATACAGGTAACATGTTTGCAACGGCGCGGGCAGACAGTAAATACCAGCCTTTATTAAAAACTCTGCAGTAAATGCCAGCTCCATTGCCTCATCTCTCTGAGCCTCAGTTTCCTCTCCATAAAAGCAGTGCCTGCTGGCATTGGGCATAAGGGCGGAGAGGATTGTGGGTATAAACACTATAAAGTCCTATACAAATAGAAGTGGTGCTTGCCAACCTTCCAGAAGAATCCACCCCATTCCAAGACCGCTACTCTTTCAGAACCCACAACATGTTGTGCCAAATAGTCTTCTCTTGCCCTCGGCAGTGGGACCCCCCCCTTAGCTGGACAGTGTCAGCCATCTGGCCAACACTGGCCTCAAAAAGCAGGCAGGCAGGAGAAGTTCTCCGAAGCTCACCATGGGCTAGGCTCCAGGCACCATTCATCAGTGTCTTTTATCCTTACCACAACCTCAGGAGGTTGGTTTTAGATCCCCACTTTGCAGATAAGGAAACTGAGGCTCACAGCGGTTAGGAAAGTTAGCCGATGCCTCTTGGCAGGAAAGTGGCAAAACCAGGACTCACACCCAGGTTTATCTGATGGCAAAGCCAGGCGTGTTCCTACTACACCCCTTGGAACATGGGTTCCACCATGTTCCTACGGCAAAGCCAGGCCTGTTCCTACTTCACCCCATGGAACATGGGTTCCAACACCCCTGAACGTGCCCAGGTCAGCCTGCCAGCCCCCCCTCATCTCGTGTAATCCTCCACCCCCACCCCAGCCCAAGCAAGTTCAGACAGAGGCAGTGACCGCGAGCAGGCTCTGAGGTCCTACCCAGGAGCGGGTTGGGGCAGGCAGGGATTCCACAGAGTGGGCAGGAGTTGGTACATGTGCCAAAGCCCAAGGCGGTGGGAGGCTGGCAGACAGGAGCTGAAGGTTCAGTTTCCCGCTGACTTTGCCCCAGTTTCCATCCTGGGAAGCCAGAGGCAGGATTCAACAGGCCTCCAGGAGGGACCAGCTAGGTAGCCCCCACCTTCCACCACCTTTGCTGGAACAGCACCAAGGACAGTTCCCCTCCCCCAGGTCAGGAGGAGGGGTGTCCATACTCACCGTGGGGAAAACCACAAGGTACCCCACTCCAGGGAGGAGCAAGTTCTCAGAACAAGAGTCCTGGGTGCCCCCACTGGGGAATAGAGAGAGCGTTGGAGTGAGTCACCACCCTCGGCCATGTTTAATAACCAACAAAGGCGTACCAGCTAGAAGCATGTCCTGGGAGGTCCACAGCTTGATAATGTAGCAAACCCTGGCCTCTGGCAGCTCCTGCTCTAAAGCAGAGTTCTCAAACTCCACAGTGCACTCAGATTCCAGGGAGTCTTGCTAAAATGCAGATACTGCTTCAGCAGGCCTGGAATGGAAACTGAGATTCTGCGCATCTGACCAGCCCCCACCCCCAGGTGATGTGGCACTGCTGGGCCAGGGGCCACAGTGCTGTGGCTTGGTGCCCATTGGAATCGGCTGGAAAACTAAAACAACCTGAGGTCTGGGTCCACACCGGAGATTCTGATCTATTTGGCACAGGGTGTAGCCTGGGCATTTGGACTTTTAAAACCTCATCGGGTGATTCTAGTGTGCAAGCAAGCATGAGAACCCCTGCCTTCATTGTAGGCACAGACGTAGAAACAGTCTTCACCTGCCCTGGACAAAGGAGGCATCTGAAATGTGACTGGCACCCTCCTTAAGCAGTCATTTCAACCTGGGGTGGGGGACATTCATGCAGGAGAGGATTTCCTAGTTTTAAAGTATTTACCGTGTGCCAAGAAAAGTGTTATGCCTCCTACATTCATCTCATTTCATCCTTACTCTAGCACCAAGAGACTGGATATATAGTCACCCCGTTTCATAGGTATGGAACCTGAGGCTCGAGTTGATGAAGTCGTTTGGCCAAGTGCTCTGATAGTAAGTGGCAGAGCCAGATCTGAAACCCAGGTCTCTCAGACTCCAAGGCCTGTGTTCATTCCACTGCATCTCCCCACCAAAGGAAGAAATCACAAGGAGGGTGACTTTGGAACTGTGCCTAGAAGGGGGAGCTGGGTGCTAATCTGAATCCAGCAAACTTCTCTCTGAGCCTTGGTTTCCTCATCTGTCTGAGGGAGGGGAGACCAAATGGTATTGAGGACTCTTCCAGCATTCCTGTTCTGTGAGTCCAGGCTCCCGGTTTCACCAATGTTCTGCTCTCTCCCCAGACATAAAGTACATCGAGGTGACCTCCACCAGATCAAGGTGTCATGATGGCCCCCAGTGCTGCTCCAGCCCATCTGTCACCCCGCCCTTTGGTTCCCCACGCAGTGGTGGCCTCCTCCTTTCCAGAGACATCCCCCGAGAGACTCGAAGCAGCAGTGAGAGCCTCATTTTCTCTGGGAGCCAGGGCAGGGGGCACCAGCACCCCCCTCCCCACTCTGGGGCTCCCTCTTCTCATCCCCCACCCTCTCCCAGCATCTCTATCCCCTGCATGGGGAACAAGGCCTCGGGCCCCCATGGCTTGGGCTCCCCGCTGGCAGCTTCTCCAGGCTTGGAGAAAGGGCTGGGGGGCCTGGCCCCACAGCAGGGCAGCAGGGTCTCTGTGTTGTCAGCCAGCCCAGCATCCGATGTCAGCTACGTGTTCGGAAGGTAGGTCACTACCACTATAGCTTCTGATATTGCCTCTGCAACACACACACACACACACACACACACACACACACACATACACACACACCCCCTAAAAATCATAGACAGGCATCCTGTTCTATCGGAGCAAAATCAGGTTGTATGCCAGAAACAAGAGTGAATATTCTCTTTTATGCCATCACAGCCATTTGGACCTCAAGCTTTCCTCAAGCACTTAGAATATAACTCAAAATTTTGAGAATATAACAAAAATTTTGATTTATGCCTACCTCTTGAGAAAAGAACTGTTTACATTCATGAGGCTCACCTGTATCCTTTCCAGCACTCATACAACCCAACTCAAGGAAGGGATTTTTTTTTAAAACACAAGGATGTAAATAAAATTTGGAGGCCTAGGATAAACCATTTAGGAAAGAAAAGCCTCCTTCCTCTTTGTTGCTAGCAAAACCTAGCAGGAAGGAGGCGAACCCGCCTGTCCCCCCGCCCCTCGGCCCAGTTTGCTGGCCTCACAGTAAAGCTGCACACACACACCCATCCTGTCCAGGAGGACCAAACCTCAGGACCTCTGTCCCCCACACCGACTCCAGAGCCTATGTGCCAAGGCAGTCCTTGGCAGGGAGGCCGGGATTCCATGGCCATGGCCGTTGGCATGGGCCTCTGGACTCAGAGAGAAGTCTGGCTGGATGCAGAGCTGGCCTCCTCCTCTCCCTCCCGCTGGGGAGTTCCCTCTGCATCCACCGTGGACATGGTCCAGCCTGCGTGCAGGGCTCTTGGGAATGTTGGGTACTTGTGTGATAGCTCAGTCAGACCTGCCTGGCTGGGAAGGCAGAGGGGATCCAGTCCAGCCTAAAGCCCACATGACCTGCAGGGGACCAGCTCATTAGCCACTTTAAATGACCAAAGACTGCAGTGCAGGGACATTTCTGTATCCTTCAGCATCACTTGGGGATCAGGTGGGCATGCACTTTGCTTTGGTCTGTGGGGGATGGAGTATGCAATTCTCTATTTAACCAGAGCTACGGGCACTGAGATCAGTAGATTCTGGAGCCTGGCTCTGACTCCTGCATGTCCACTGACAGCCTAACACCCTGCCTGTCTGGTGCCCTCCCTGCAGCAGCCAGTCCCTCCTCTACTCCAGCGTCTCCAGCCATCAGTCATCTTCTAGATCCTTGGAGAGTCCAGCGAGCTCTTCCTCCAGCCTCCACAGCCTTGGCCAAGTGTCCCCGGGTACAAGAGCCAGTGACTTCCAGGTCTCCAGCAACCCCACCCCAAACATGGGCCAGCCCAGAGCAACTCACTCCCCACCACTGGCCAAGGAGCACGCCAACAGCTGCCCACCATCCATCACCAACTCCATGGTGGACATACCCATCGTGCTGATCAACGGCTGCCCAGAACCAGGTTCTCCCCCATCCCAGCAGATCCCAGGACACCAGGACTTTGTCCGGCCTGGGGCCCCTTCTTCCAGCAACCCTTGTCCAGCCACCAGGAGCCACAGCCAGACCCCTCTCGCCACATCCTCAGAGGGTATGTTGTAAACCAGTCCTTCAGCCGTTGTGAGGTTCGGCTTGGGGGGATAGACAAAGCATCAGTGGGTTTCTGCAATAGCAGGTCAATGCGCTGAACACCTACTGGGTGCCGAGCACTTTGCGAAAGAGTAGGGACAGAGAGATGGACACAGTTTAGAAAGAGACAAAAACCAAGGATCACTACAGAGTAGAATAAACACAGAAGGCAAGAGACGTCCTAAGTCTTATGGGGCCACAAAGGAAGGGGCGATCCTTTCAGTCTAAAAAACTGGGAAAGCTCCTTGGAGGAAGTGACATCTGAGCTGGATCTGGAAAAGTGAATCAAACGTCTGGAGCTAGAGCAGGGGAGGAGGGGCATTCCCAGCAGAGGGAACAGCAAGTCCACGGTCATGAAGGTGTAGAAGCACATGCATGTTTAAGAAATGACTGGAGTGTTGGGTGTGGGATGAAGTAGTTGAGTAATCTGGGGCAAGATTGGGAAAGGTCTTGAACACCAAGCGAAAGAGTGGATTTTACCCGTTAGGCCGCGGCATCAGGGAACTAGCAGGGAGTCTCAGACAGGAAAGTAATGGGGTCAGAGGTACACGTTCAATAGATAACTCCGGCAGCTGCATGGCAAATGACCTGCAGGGCCCGGCCCAGGCAGGGAGAGCAGTTTTGTTTTGATTTTCATCATGAAGTGGTCCGGACGAGCTGTAACGGGGGCCTGCACCAGGGCGGGGCAGGGAGGAGGAGAGAGGACAGAGCCAGGAGACCCTCAGGATATGAAAACAGCAGGCTTGATGACTAACGCAAGAGAGGGAGAAGGAGAGTCAGTCCTACCTCTGACGTTCGTGGATGACGAACACACAGAGAGCCGACAGAGACAATGCATTCCAATGCAGACAGCTAAAAACCACAAAGCAGCAAACACCCTCCTTCCCGTAGTCTATGACTACAGGCGTCCAAAAAGAACAAAACCAGCCAGAACCCAAAGCAGTAAACACAGAGGCTCAGGCTTAGCACCCACAGGGTGCACCTCTCCAGAGAAGAGCCCCTGCAGAGCCCCAGGGACACTGTCCCTGCTCCCCACCCCCCACTCAGCCACAAGCATCAGGGAGACTCCTGGGGGTTATGATGTTCACTCTGGCCTGCACTGCAATTCAGGAAGCCAGGTCAATGTAAGCAAGAGAAAAATGGCATGATAGGTGTGCCTTTGAATCTGCTCTGATCATTTTCCCGGAATAAATCATTTGCAAATTTTAGCACATTTTTTTATGATGAGTTACTCTCAGCTGGCCACAACACACACCTTTTCAAGATACCAAAATGGAAAACCACTGTTCTCTGCCTTAGGGACCCAGGGAAGCGGCCATTTTGTCATCGCAATGAGCACATTTACTTAGTCCGGCGATATCCCATCCTGGTTTGGGGGAGCCCCAGGATATCACTCATTATACCCTGGGGTCTTATCAGAGTCTGCAAACTATTCTCAAAACAAAATCCTTGCTAATTGCCTAGGCTATTGGAATGTCAAAAACCCTCAGAGACGGTTTAGTACACTTAGTCCCCTCTGGGCTTCAGGAGCAAGACAGTTGTCCCAAATCAGAGTCAGGAATCCCATCTCCTGACTTCCGCACAGGCTCATCTGCCCAGAGCTGCTGCCTTCCTTTCCTCAAACTTTTCTTTCATTTTCTTTTCCAAACTGAATATGCCCCCCAAGACACTTGTAAGATTCTTAAGGGGGAAGAGAGGGTAAAACCAAACACATGATACATCTCAGAATCCCTTATTTACCCCTTCTTTCAGTCCAAACCAGACAACACAAGATTTGAGAAACTGTTTCTCATTAAACTGAGATTTTATCTGTTTGTGATTTATTACCAAGGATATGAGGGGAGACTCCTAGGTCCTAGATGCGCCAAGCCCTGAATTCTTCTGTTGGATTTTGCCTCTTGTAGGCAGTTGGAGATACAGTGGGGTTGGGGTAGGGTAGGGTGGGTTGAATGGGACCACTGGGCAGAGGTGGGGGAAGGGTCTCTCAGCTCCCTTGGTCCAACCTAAAGAGTTCCCCCTCTCTGTCTTCCAGGTCCCTCCAGGGACATGCAGCCCACCATGAAGTTTGTGATGGACACATCTAAATACTGGTTTAAGCCAAACATCACCCGGGAACAAGGTAAAACGAAGCGCCGTGTTTCAAGGGATGAGTGACCCAGGGCTCAAGTCTGGGTCTTGCACCTTGCATCAGGCAGATGGGGCCCTGGGTCATGGTAGGGGAGGGAATGGCAAATGGTAGGTCCAGGGAAGGGGGATATCGTGCAAACCTCATGTCCTGAGGAAATAGGGACTGCAGCAGGAAGGGTGGAGATTAGACAATAGGAAGGACTTCCTGGGAACACAAGGTGATTCTGTAATGTCTGCTCTATGAAGATTCTATGGGGCTGGGGGACAGGGGGTGTCTGGTGGGGGGGGTAGGTAACTGTCTCTGACCCAAGGATTGTTCCAGCAATTGAGCTGCTGAGGAAAGAGGAGCCAGGGGCTTTCATCGTGAGGGACAGTTCTTCCTACCGAGGCTGCTTTGGCCTTGCCTTGAAGGTGCAGGAGGCCCCTGCACCTGCCCCGAACCGATCAGGTATGCGCACCCATCTCTTCGTTCAAGGCCTCACGCACCTGTCTCTTCATTCAAGGCCTCACAGAGGCAACGGGCTGTGGTAGGTTCTAGTCCCAGCTCTCTACTGCTACCTTGCAGCAGGCCCGTAAGTACTCCTGGGAGGAGGGTCGGCCCTCTCCCAGCTGCCTTCCTGCACCAGAGGCTCTGTAAGGAGCTCCTTCCACAGCAAGCCTGAGCTTCCTCTACCTCTGGGAGTCCCCAGATTCCCTGCTCTGCTCTCATAGGGAGAAGAGGAGGAAGCTCCCAGCCCCTCTCCAGGATGCTCTCCTCTGCCCACCCCACCCCCGCTGTCCAGACCAGCTTTATTGTGGAGAACCTAATGTAGTAATAACGTGTGTGCCCTAGCTTATCACGTGTATGTGACAGTTTATCACATGTGATAGCTTATCGAGTGAATGCACTGGCTTATTACATGTGCGTGATAGCTTATCACGTATGTGCTAGTTTATCACACATGTGATAGCTTAGCACATGCTTTCCCGTGGTCTCACACACACAACACACATCTCTGGGGCATGCACCCTGCACTGGGATACCTCGCTAGGGAGATAGACAAAAACAGATCATTATAGTACAAGGTATCTAAGTTACAGCCCCTCCCCAAGCCCCAGGAGTATAGCTCTCATGTAACAAAAGGATCAGGTAAATGGGTTCCAAGAGTTAGTTAATGACACCCCCCCCCCCGCCCAAGAGCAAAGATGAAAACCCCAACTTCATGCTCTCTACACCATGCTGCTCTGGTTAAATAAGAAAGTGACCTCTGGGGCAGTGTTGGTTATCAAGAACGCCTTGCCAATGAGCACAGAGAGGAGGAAGCCATGGGCTGGTGGAGAAGAGGCAGAAGGGCACTGTTCACCCTCCAGGGCCAGCCTAGCTCCAGCAGGGACCATCTGGTGAAGAATCACAGTACCTGGGAAGGAGTGGGTAGAAGAAGAGAGAAATCAGGCTGAAGGATTAAGATTTGATCTCAGTAGTCACTGGGACCATCCCCAGTAGCTCTTGAGACCAAGAGAAAGTTCTCCTGAGAGGAGAGACTTACTGGACGCAGAAGCCTTTGAGCAAACATGTTGGCACCTCCTTTGTGGGGGGCCTTGAAGATAGGGTTCCCCCTAGCAGTCCCGCCCACTCCTAGGCAGGGGAATGAGCCAGTTAATCTCTGGATGGACCAGGAGGAGGCGGGTCAGGGAACGAGTTGGTCAGTGTTCGGCTATAACACTGGGCTCTGGAACCCCCATCCACACGCGCTCTTTCTTCTCTCTTTGTCCAGGTGAGGACAACAGTGACCTCATCCGCCACTTCCTCATCGAGTCTTCCGCCAAAGGGGTGCATCTCAAAGGAGCAGACGAGGAGCCCTACTTTGGTGAGCCTCTCCAGCCTGCAGGCCTCTGGGTGGGCCCCGCCCTCCTGGGCTGGGAGACGGGTCCGGGGAAAGCCCTCTCACACAGGGCTGCCTGTTTTGTTGCAGGGAGCCTCTCTGCCTTTGTGTGCCAGCATTCCATCATGGCCCTGGCGCTGCCCTGCAAACTCGCCATCCCACAGAAAGGTGGGTCGGGGCCCGAAAGAGGCAACCCCAGGGAACTAAAAGGGCTCCTAGTGGTCACATCCCACCTTATTTACGGATTAGTGTCGCAGTTAAAAGTGCTTCACCTAGCATCCATCAGCATCTCCTCTTCCTGGCTTGAGAATTTGAGAATGTCGACCTCTCTGAGCCTCTGTTTCCTCCTCTATGAAATGGGGACAGCCATCATCATACTTTTACTTGCAGGATTGGTTGGGGGTTAAATGAGCCGGTCCAGGCAAGGCTCTTATCACAGAGTACGTGTTTGATAAATAGGAGCCTTCTTTGAGAGGATGAAAGGAACATAAATCAGCCGGTTTGGAGAGGGTTGGTTTTTTTCTTCCAGGTCCAACCTTTACTGGGCACTCCCTCGTTCACACATCCCTCACCACAACTGTGTCAAATAGGTGTTATCCCCATTTAACAGATGAGAAACGGAGGACTCGAGGAGCTGAGTAGCTCTCCCAAAGGCACATAGATCAGACCTCGAACTGAGATCAGGAAGTCCCATCCAGAGCCCGCAGCCCAGCTGCACGATCAGCTGGAGTAGATGATCCCCGGGTGTGCAGGAGGAGCAGAAGAGGGGTTCTGGGAGAGGAGTCAGGGCAGGGGGAGCCCCCGGTGTGGTGATGGGGAAAGCCTCCCTACATTCTGCAAAGAAAGGCGTGGGTTTGGGATGGGTTCTGAAAGAAGGGAGGAGGGGAGAGGCTTCTGAGGACCAGGTGACTGCAGCAGTCCAGGGGCTGGAGGAGTGAGAAGGGAAGGAGGGACCAAAAGCCTTGCAAGTCAGGCATCTGGGGAGCCCCAAGTGGCCCCGTTTGTCTAATTATGGTAATCACACCAGGTTTCTCAAGGGCTTGCTTCCTGAAGGTGGGGGCGGAGGTGAGAGGTGTTCAAGGGGATTAATATTCCTACCAGAAGAGTCCGTTCACTCCACCCCTGCCCCCTCTGGGGACTATTACTTTGCTTTGGCTCAGAATTGGGAGCTGGAGACGACTCAGACCCCACTACAGACAGCCGGGCCTCCTACCTGAAGAAATCTGCAGGTAAGTGGCATGGGGGAGGCTCCAGGCTTGCCTGTGCCCTCATAGGGCCCCTCCCAACCCCACGCACACACTTGCACATGCAGGTACACACATGTTCCCACTATAGGTTTGTTTCTTCGTCCTTAACAAGGTGCCCCGTGGTCCTCCCCATCCCTATAAACCTGGAGGTGAGAGGCTGCAAGCCTGGGCGGGGGGAGCCCGTGGGGGTGGCAGGAGAGAGGGAGGTTGGTGTGGCTTACACCCCATCCTGCACACTCATTGGCACATGTGGACATGCTGGGGCCTCTCTGGTTCTGAGGGACCTGCCCTAGAAGTGATCTCTGGGTCTGGGATCCTCTATGGAGTGTCAGGTCCAGAGGCCAGGCACAGATCAGCACTTGTCCAAGTGCCCTCCCCCCATTCTTGTCTTCCCCACCTTCTCTTGACAATGAACCAGGGCCCCGGAGTGGGTGGAGGTAGAGACAGTGCCAACCATGCTTCTGGACAGAAGGGAGGTTTTGCCTGGACATCCCGACACATAGGGCAACAGCTTTACTCCACCCTAGAGGGCCAGAGGCCAGAGCAATGCAAAGCCACAGATGCTCCCAATGTCCTCTGGGATTGGCCTTGAATTGCAGTCACCTACACACTCCTGCCTGCCTGCCTGCCTGCCTGCCTGCCTGGTGGCTCAGAGGAGTCCCACTGGATTCCTGAAGAAGGAAGAGCCCTGACACCGGCTCTGGGCAGAAGGAGGACCAGGGCCTGGGGGACCCTACCTGCCCCTGCATGGTGGATCCTGGCAAGGCCTAAGCACAGCGTTTACATACCCCAGGCTGCCATGCCCTGTACCTGACCTCCGTGAGTGTAGAGACCCTGAGTGGAGCCCTAGCCGTGCGGAAGGCCATCTCAACCACCTTTGAGAGGGACGTCCTCCCCACACCCACCGTGGTCCACTTCAAAGTCACTGAGCAAGGCATCACCCTGACTGATGTCCAGAGGAAGTAAGGGGCTTCCCTTGCTCTGGGGCTGCTGGGTGGGGCAGGGGGATCTGGAGGGGATGGCTAAGATGGCCGTGGATCAGTGATGAAGGTAGGATTCAGAATCCTGGACCCAATGTGGTCAGTGACTTGCTGAGTGACTCCAGGCAAGTTCTCTGCCTTCTCTGGGCCTCACGCCAATGACCTCATCCCAAAGTGCCCCTTTCAGTGGGCACTGGTTCAGTCTGGTTCATCCACTGATGAACCTCGTCCCAAAGTCCCCCTTCCAGGACATTGGTTCAGTCTGGTTCATCCACTGATGGAACAACTGCAGAAGGCCAGACTCTGGCTGCCCACTTCAACACAGTGGCTGAAATCACTCCTTCCCCGGGCTCAGGGCTTCACAGTCTGGCAGGAGCCTGGCCCTGGGCTGGAGGAACAAGAGATGAGCAAGACATCATTCCTTTCCTCAAGCAGTTAAATGACAGTGGGCAGGGGGCGGAGGAGAGAGGGTAGAAAACCTGACACAAGGCAGATTCATTCCATGAAAAGAGAGAAGTTTGGGGCGCCTGGGTGGCTCAGTCAGTTGCGCATCTGCCTTCGGCTCAGGTCATGATCCCGGGGTCCTGGGATCGAGCCCCGCATCAGGCTCTCTGCTCTGCGGGGAGTCTGCTTCTCCCTCTCCCTCTCCCTCTGCCCTTCTGCTTGAGTGCTCTTTCTCTCTCTCTCTCTCTTTTAGATGAATAAATAAAATCTAAAAAAAAAAAAAAGAAGAAGAGAGAGAAGTGCAAACATGTGCCCCAGGGCCCAGCAGTGGGAAAGGTCACAGCAGGCTATAAGGGGTCTAATTGGGAGGCTTCTTGGAGAGCAGGACATCTGAACTTCAGGAGAGCTAGAGATGATGGAGGTAGAACACGGCACTGGGACAGGCTGTCACCAGCAGTCCTTCTCTTCCAGGGTGTTTTTCCGGCGCCATTACCCCCTCACCACCCTCCGCTTCTGTGGCATGGACCCCGAGCAACGGAAGTAAGTTCAAGTCTGGGCCAAACTCACAAAGCCATCCAGGCCTAGCTGCCCACTGAGGTTTCTTACTGACTCTGGGACTGGGGTCACAGACAAAGCCTGTGAACCTCGAGGGGCTGGGAGCAACAGAATGAGGGGAGGGTGGGACCCAGTGGGGTGTGATCACAGCTGGCCATTGTCCCCAGCTGCTCAGCCAGAGTCCTGTGGAATGCAGAGAAGTCTCAGTACTCATTCCTGTCCCTCTTCCTTTCCCACAGGTGGCAAAAGTACTGCAAGCCCTCCTGGTAAGGCTTACCTGTGTCGTGTCAGTCACCGTAAAAGGTCTCCCTGGGCCAGAACCTGGGACCCAACAAGAGGAAGAACTCAGGAAAGGAGGGAGGCCCTGTCCTGACCTTAAGAGAGCCCATGGTTTTGATGGGGGTGGCATAGGCCCGGGTCCTCAGAGAGCCTCCAGTCTAAAGGGGGAGACATGAGCCTGGGAGCCCTCAGTCTTATGTAGGAGGCACAGGCTCTAACCTCAGGCAGCCTTAATCGATGGGGATGCCCCAGTCTGATGGTCAAGACACATCCTTGCCCTCAGGAAGCTTCCACTCTGATGAGGAATATGCAGGTCCTGTCCTCACGGAGCCACCATTCAAAAGGAGGGTTACCTAGGTCTTGAACTCGGGGATCTCCCAGTCTGACAGAGGAGGCCCATCCTACCCTCAGAGAGCTGGGGAAGGGGCAGGCCAGAGCACCGTACTAGCTGAGATCACCCCTCCCAGCTTCTCTGGGCCCCACCACCTCACCCAGGCTATGTTTTCCCACCAGGATCTTCGGGTTTGTGGCCAAGAGCCAGACAGAGTCACAGGAGAATGTGTGCCACCTGTTTGCAGAGTATGACACAGTCCAACCAGCCTCCCAGGTCATCGGCCTGGTGGGTGCCTTGCTGCAGGACACAGAAAGGATGTAGAGGGAGGGAGCTTCCCGTGCACCTTCCTGGACATCCAAAGGGGGCTGGAACCCCTGAGCAGGGGCTTGTGGCCACACTAATGAGCCAATCTATTGGACTGGGGAGAACAGTACCAAGTTGAAACCCTGGAAACCTAATGACCGTCAGCAGTGACCTTCATCCAGACCCAGCTGGGTCTCAGTTTCCTCAACCATAAAAAGAGGCCAATAGACAGGACCAGCGGTGCTTCTCAGACTCTGATGGCATCTCAACAAGCTCCCTGTGATTCTGAAGCATGCCCACATCTGAGGACCCACACGGAAACAACCTCTGAGGACCCCTGACTCCATCAACTTGGACACTGCCAATGCAGAAGCCTGAGTTAGAGGCCTGCAACCCTCTGTCATGGCAAACAGAAGGTGCTGGGTTGGGACCCATGGGCCCCTAGCCCAACGCTGACCTGGGAGAGATGATATGCAAGGATCGACCAAAGGGGGGATGGACGGACTCCTATTTGCCTCCATATCTGTTCCTTTCCCCACTTCCGTAGTGGCTTCTTGGACGGCTGTTCCCAGGACAAAGCAGGATCTGCCTGCCCTGGATTCTTTAGGCCAATGTGGCCACGGTTGTCAGGGCGGCTTAGCAAGGGGGAACTTGTCCTCATGGTCAGAGACCACCCAGCTGCCCTCACATTCTTGATGACTAGTCCCCACCACTGCAAATGAGTATCAGCCCCATCTTTTCTCTCAATTTTTTGGTAAGCAAGTGTCCTCCAGCTGGTGTCACAACTGCCCTAATGTTACTTATGTAACCCACAGGAGGGAGGTGGGGTCAGGGAGACCCTCTGCTCTCCAGAGCAGATGCCAGGGCCAGCTTTCTCTGGTTCTGCCTCAGCTCCCGTCCTGTTGAGTGCCCCCTGCTTCCCAAAACCCACATATAGACACACCGACAGGCCCAGCAGTAGGGCATCTACTGGCCTTACAGCCACACGGGGGCAGCAGAGAGTCATCAATGCAGACAGGCCGCCAACTCAGGAGGTTTGGAGAAGCTGGGCAGTCTTTCCCCCAACCCCACCTCTGTCAAGACTCCCAAGAAGCTGGAATCCTTTGTCTAACAGGCCTGGGGTCCTAAGAAAACCACACTGTGAGGGTGGAAGAGGAGGCTCAGAGAAGAAGCCCACTTTTGTTCTACAAGGAGCAAATGCCTGCCCCCTCCCCGCTGTGGGCCCTGCCACCGCATCGTTGTCATTATCTTTGGCCAAAGTTCGGCCTGACGGATTGTGATTTCAACCCAGGAAACCAAACCGGACTGAGGCTGCCCTGGGCCGGCGGGACTGGCTGAGAGCAGCCCACCCAGCCTGTGCTCAGGCACTGCCCCATCCCTGGAGAGTAGAGAACACTAGACAAGTTCTGAAGGTCATATTCAGGAGGCTGGCAGAGAGCCCCCCCTTTTACTCATGGGTGCCTGTGTAGTTCCCATGGAAAATAAAGTGTCTGTCTTGGCATAACAGTCGGTTCTAAGGCATTCAGGGCTGCCCACTCAGAGGAGGAGACCTGAACAGAGAGGGGACCTGAGTTGGCAGGTGATGGCTATGTCATAGAGAACACTCCCTCCTACACCCCTGGCCACAGCAGTACAGTCTGCACTGGCTTCCCTTCATAAGCCATCTCTTCGACCATTCTGTGTCCCCCACATGGCCCACACACGCGGTTTTCTTCCTCGTGACTCCTTGCCTGCCATTCTGCCAGGAGGACAGAGAATTGAGATCTCGCCCTTGTCCCAGGGCTGAAGGTGAGTCCGTGTGGTCCCCCTGACAGATCCCAAGGTCTCACTCGGCTCCCTCAGGGGCCAGGAGAGGCAGGTGAAACATGGGCGGAGTCGCGAAGAGTCTCTGAACCCAGATGAGCCCTGAGCTACCAGCTCAGCCCTAGAGAAATAGCCAATGGCTTCATCATCCCACCCTGGGCCTGGGGGTTCTACCACTAGCTTCTGCCAGCTGGCAGTCCAAGCCTTGCCAAGCGGTATAGGAGGGGCCTCAGGAAATCTGCTTTCCTAAGGGGCCTTAGGAAGGGGAGCTGCTGCTTCTGTTCAGGCCGAGTTCTGTGACACGGTGGCAGGAGCTGCCCTGGAGGGCCTGCGAAGAGACCCTCCCAAAGGCCTTGAGTCGCTGTTGAGGAGCCCTGCCTTCCCTCCCACTACAAAACTTCAATTCCAGCCTCCCCTCCCAGCCCCCCTCGACCTGGCCCTGGACCGAGTCCATGGAAGGTAATATCTCTGATGCATTTACCACAGCTCATCTTTCCTCCAGGAACATTTAACAAAGAACTTGACTTAGACTTGCCGATGGGCAGAGCAGCCAGCCCAGCAAGGAGAGGAGGAGTGGTGAGCAGAGGGCAGGAAAGATAGCCACCAAGCCAGGAGCCAGGAGGGGAGGGGTCTTCAGACCCCAAGAGTTTTCTGTTCAGGAGTCCCCAGGCCTTGTAGCCCTTGGTCTGAAGCCTCCCCCACCCCAGTACCTTCCGATGTCACCCCTCCCAACTTTCTATAGTCCCCATCCTGCTGTCTACACACACATATACCACCCACCCACCCCTCCCTCACCCTCCTTCCCCGGGTTCTCCTGTCCTTCGCCAACCCATTCCTTCTTGATCCTCCTGCCTCAAACCCATCATCTCCCTCTTTACAGAAAAACCTTCCTCTCTCTCACTCTCGTCCCCTGTAATTTCCCCAGTTGGCTGGACCCACAGCGAAGCCCAGCTCGGATCGATAGGAAGGGAGAGGGGCAGCCACCTGCACTGCCAACCATTTTTCAAGCCTCAGACTGCCACCCTCTCTAAACCCTGCCTCTTTTCTGGCTACAGAGTGACCTCACCAGAAGGCTGAACCACCTTCACCCCGCCATCCCCCCCCCACTCTTCTGTCTGCTCACCTCTGCTTTTTCATCCTCCGCCTCCTGTCCTGAACTCTCAAGCTATCCAACAGGCGGAGGGCTTGGATCGGGAGGTGAAGGGCTCCCAACCCAGAGATTGGTGCCTTGCTTCATGCAACAAGGGTTTTCTGGCTGGATGCTTTGCTCCTGTGAGCCGGGAAAACAAATCAGTGCAACAGCGTTCTAACAGAAGTTTGTGAGTGCCATGTGGGGCTGGCAGGAAAAGTAGAAACAGGGAATGTAAACTTTATCCATTTGGAGGGAATGAGGGCAATGTTACCAAGGGGGTAACATTCGAGTTGGGTCTTCAAGAATGAAAAGGAATTTAGCATGCAAAGAAACCACGGAGGCTCTTACGTGCTAAGTGCAATGTGAGGCACACTATATATGTTTAATCCCATTTTACTGAGGCTCGGAGGGTTAAATTGCTCATGTTCTCCTAGCTGGGAAATGGCAGAGAAATAGGATTCCAAATCTGGGCCTGTTCTGCCTCCGCGTTCTCAGACAAGCTGGTGGACGAATTTGTGTGTGAAGCACACAGGTATGAGATGGTACCATGTTCAGTGTGGCTAAAGTATATGGTACCCAAGGAAATAAGTGAGAGAGGAAGCAAAGGAGAGTCAGGAGCCAGATTATCAAGAAAGTTGGGTTCTAAGCTGAGAATGTCTAGGGAATGAATACTTGTTAAACGAATGGATGAGTGAGTGAATGAATGAATGAGGTTGTGCTCAAGACCCTTTGTGTACAGTTGCACAGGTTGTGCAATGCACAATCATACATGGCAACCTGCTTGGATTTCATTCTGTAGGCAATGGGGAGACATCAGAGGCTTTTCAGCCAAGGAGTAAGTGAACAGATTTGTGCTTTAGAAATAGGGCTGTGGGGGCAGGAGACAGGACCTGAGGCCTAGGTTGGGGAGAAGTGTGACTGAAAGAGGAAGCTGTGAGACCTTGGACTTCAGGCCAGGAAAGGGATAAGAGCCTAAGGAGACAGGCTGGGACAGGAGCCTACTTGATCTAGGCCTGGGTCCTGCGTTCCTATGACTTGAAGGACCACATGGGAAAGAGCAGGACCTCCCTCCCAGTCCCCCTGATATTAGTCTCCTCAAGCTGCCATGACACAATACTGGGTGACTTAAACAACAGACACTTAAACTTTGTCACAGTTCCGGAGCCTGAGGTGCCAGCCTGTTTGGGTTCTGGTGAGAGCTCTCTTCTTGGCTTATAGATGGCCATCTTCTTCTTGTTTGTGCACATGGGCCTTTCTTCAGTGTGTGCTCCTGGAGAGGGAAATCTCTCTCTTCTTCTTAATAAGGCCACCAAGTCTCTAGCATTAGGACCCCACCCTTCTGATCTCAGTTAACTTAATGAACTCCTAAAAATACTATCTCCAGATACAATCACACTGGGTGTTAGGGCTTGTGAACTTGGAGGGACACGATTCAATCCTGCCCCAGCCACATCCCCCACTCCCACAGTCCCCCTATGCTGGCCGGGCTGGGGCTCTCTTCTTCCTGACCCTTGCCCTCAGAGGCAGCCCGGGGCTTGTTTTGTAAGCCTCTGCTTCCTAGAAGGCGTCTCCAGCCTTTGCCTCCCTGCAATGGAGTCTTGTTGAGGAAGTCAAGCGGAGTTTGGTTTGCAGCAGGCCTGGAGGCCAGGGAGGTGAGCCAGAAGGAGGGAACCTGAGAACATGAGGAGGGAAAGGAGAAGGGAGAAGGCGACTCACTAGCTCATTCATTCATTCACCAAACATGTGCTGCACAGGGCAGCGTTAGGCATACCAGGGCTGGGCAGGGAATGGGGAAGGGGTCTGCGTGTGCCCCAGGAGAGACGTTCTGTCCTCCACAGCATTAGATATGACACCCGTGAACACTGAGATCGAACATATCATTTGTCTAGTTCACTCCACTCTCACCTACACACAAACATACACACACACACACACACACAACTTCCCTCTTCTGCATCAAGAATTAGAAGCCTAGGGGGGTCAGGCAGATGTGGGTGGCAGGTCCCCTCTGCCATTGACTAGCTTCATGATTTATCAAGAGTCAGATGCTCAACCAACTGAGCCATCCAGGTGCTCCTATTTC